CCCCAAAACCCCAAAACCCCAAAACCCCTATTATTTAGTTTTTTATTGAACTAAAATTTTAGATTTAAATAGAAACATGGAAAGTATAAAACTCAGACTCTTGGGTGGATCAAAGATAAAACAATTATTTTCCTTCAATAAAGATTGATTATGATTAAGAGTCATTTTCAACAAAAAAAACCAATGGGTTATCTTTCGTCATCTCTTGTCTGAAATTATGTCAGATCTAACCTTTCAAAATGCTTCAGGACTAGTTGCAACCACTTTTAATTCCAGAACTAAGATAAAGCTTTAATTTTGATATAAAATATCAATTATTAATAACAAAAGAATTTGAAAGCCAAAAGACTAAAATCTCTATCAAGATTGAGTTTCTAAATACCCATCCTTTAGCTTGACAAAATATTCTTTGAAAATTCAAAAGTCAGATAAAAAGTTAGAGCGTTTTTTACTAGTCTGGGCTTGAAACAATAATTTAGAGATATACAAAGTATTGTAAAGAAATAGCTTTGTGAAGGTTATTACTAGAAACTTCCAAATTATCGATAAAATATGTATTGAATATCTTGATACTTTGTTCTCCAAAGTGAGCTTCTTTTAATACAAGACTTCTCCTTGAGCTCGAAATTTGGCTTCTTTAGGATTTTTAATTTCCTCCATGAGTCTATGCTTTTCAGAGTTCCTTATCTTTTATTCTTTTTCTAGTACTAGTAAAAGCTCATTTTTTCAGAACCATCTCAGTTGAGGATGTATGAGGTTGGTATAACATGTGAATTGCATTTGAAAATTTCTCAAATATTTAGATTAATTGGAGCTGGATCTTTACAATAAGATTTTTATCCTGGCTAATTCCGCTTGACTATGCCTGCATCTTTTTTCTTTAATTCTCTAAACTTTTTCTCTATCTTAATTCTTACTGTAGACATTATTATGCAACAACTTTCTGATTTTGCCCAAAATGATATGCTTGAGACGCAACCTTTGCTTTTAGGATTTTATAAATCTAGGCTAAAATATTGATCATCAAAATTTGTAATCTTTTCTCACTCCAGTATATCGGAATGGGGTAAGTCATGTTTATAATTTCTTTGCTGTCAATTTACTAAATAAAATTGTATGATTAATATCATACCAACGTTTCGCTCTTGAGAATACCTTCAGAGTTCAGGTATTTAACCTTCTTGGTTGGGAAGATAGGTAACTTTCCTTAGATATCAAAATTCTATATATTTTTATCTTTAATTATGCCTTGAACATATCTCATTCACTAAGAAAGCATCTCTAGTAATTCAAATTCAGATTAATAATATTGAGCATAATTTAATTTCTCGCTATAATTTTTACCATAAAAACTGACGAATGGTTAAGAACAGGTTTGAATAATAATAAATCTGACTAATTAAGGTGTGTATTTCCAACATTAAAATATTTTGTCATCATTTGTGCATTTAATAGCAAAGTCTACCTTTCATCATTATTTTAGATTTTCAAAAAATATGAATTTTAGAACATGATTCCTCTGATCTCCCTTACCATTGCGAATATTTGTGAAACTATTTTCTTACAACCCAAAGAGCAAGAATTTCTGAAAATGCCAAAGCAGATGCATTGGAATATGAAAATTACCCTAAACATATAGAAGCCTGGCAACACCTCAGAATCGGTAAACCATTGTAATATAGAACACTACAAAACAAACAAGTAAAAAAATGCCCGAGAGAATGCTAGTAATTTTTGATTGAATACATCTCTGGAAGAAAATATCAAACAAGTCCAGAGACTAAATTCTGAAAGCAGAAAACTATAAGATAATAAAATATTTAGAATAAGAAAGCTTTTTAGAGAGCACAAAAAATGGTGAACTTCCAAAAGAATATAGAGTTATTTTGTCCATCATTAGCAAGATCCTGAGATGTTCAAGAGAGAAGGACTCAGATCGTATAGTTAATCCTTTCCGAACCATATAAATAACTTGAAATCTCCATTGATTGCTAACAAATTATTTTATCTTCTTAACTATAGCAAAGAGAGCTATACAATTACAAAGATTCATGATTAATCAACAATAAGTTGCAACTCGATATGCCTATGAACCCATTCACACAATAATGAAATAAGCTCATGAATTTTGGGTTTAAGAACCGAATTCTCATTCAGTAAAGATGATGCCTGGTAACCACCCATTAAGTGAAAAGTTCTATATTGCTGATAGTTGCTGGGGTTTTGGGGTTTTGGGGTTTTGGGGTTTTGGGG